GTTAAAGTAAACAAAGTTTAAGGAAAAATATATAAGGTTTTCTTAAGACTTGAACTTCATAAGTTCATTTTTTCAAGAATTTTAGAGAGATTTTAGACAGATATGCTCTGGAGCCAAAGGAGATTTTTTTCCTCCCAACTTCTTAGGAGTACTCTAACTCATTCCCTAAAGCTTAGATTGAGTTGTTGAGTAGAGATTCAAAGCTTGAAAACTTGACAATCAAAGTTTTGGAGTTTTCGTACGGCAAGAACTTGAGAGTCCACGTCTTCCATTGTTCTTCCTTTTTTTCTTGGAGATTTGAGGTAAGATAAGCCTATAAAATTAACCTTGTTGAGTTGCACATGTTTATTCTTAGTTGTTTTGCCCATTGGGGCTTGATTTTTAAATTTGAAGAAGGATAATCTTGATGTTATTGGTATGTTGTTATTCTTAATGGAATGAGAAGCAAATTGATGATTTGTGAATTCTTGTGGTTGCATGTTGTAATATTCTTGGAATCTAAGTTGCTTTTGATGTATATTTGTTGAATTAAGATTTTCATGTTGGCTTGTTCAAGGATTTTGGGTGATTTGAGCCAAAATCATGATTATGCTAAGTGTGGAAATTGCCTTCACATCAAGCACAACTTCATGGTGTTGGGTGTGAATGAATTCAAAAGCTTTTTGTCTCACTAACATTGAGCACAGAATGAGAAGTGCCAAGTGTGGGTAAGCTAGAGGCACTTTGCCTCATTGATGCTAGGCATGAAATAAGTGGCATCGAGAGTCGTTACTAAATTTGTGGCTCTCTTTGATTTGATCACATTGGGCATGAGATAGGTGTGTCAGACGTAAGTAAGCTAAATGATTTCTACCTTGGTGACGTCGAGTGCAAGATTATAGCATCGGGTGTGGATTACATAGAAACTCTTTGTCTCCATTTCATCAAGCATAAAGGAATTGGTGTCGAGCATGAATAAGCTAGAGACTCTTTGCCTCATGGCATAGGGCGTAAGGTGAATGGCATCACGCATGGACACTAGGCACAAGTTTGATCACATCAAGCATGAGTTAATGAAATGAATTTGAGTAATATGTAGTTTGTGTTGTGTTAAAAATGTATGAGAAATATGTTGTATTGTTGAATTATGTTGATGGTATGAATGATGCATGATGTTGAAATATGTTCTGAACTTAGGACTAAAGGAGAGATGTTTTAAAAGTTGAGATATTTCATTGTGTATTGTGGTGTTCTAAGAGTCCACTTGTTGAAAATCCCTTCTTAAGTATTGATGTCTCTTGAAGTTAAGTGTTGAGTCTTCTTTAAGTCCTAAGTTTATACCGTATTGAGTCTAGGTAGAGTCATATTGGTTTAGAAACAACCAACTAAGTAATGTATGAAGTTGATGAGTAAAATCGTTGACTAATTACTAGAAAGGTGCACAATATATAGAGGTAGTCAATGAGTTAATTTCATATAGACTTAATTGATACATACTAATAATTCACCAATAAAAAGAATTGATGCATACTGTTAGGATTTCAAATAGGCAAGCGCACCCAAGTCTCTGTAGTATGAATAAAAGGTTGTCGAACCTCAGGGACTTGTGAGATAACTTAGATTTCTATTATATTAATTGATGCTTATAAATTTAAAACTGGAATAGTTACACATATTCAAATTTGATAAAGATGATTTTCCAATTTCAAGAACCCACAGAGTAATTTGATTTAAAGAAAAACAGATATAAGAAACAGTCGGGATTTGATTTCATCAATCTCCCTCCTATGTATTCCTATTGATTCTTTCTAAAGATTCCATTACTCATTGTCATTGAGTTCACTAAATTCATTCAAACCCAATTCCTTGGCATAAGAAATTCTAAGATATTTAACTCAATGAATGATTCCTCACTTCATTCAGTTAAACATCCCGCATTAAGAATCAGAACTTGATACAACTATTAATTTCAAGACCATTCCTGGCTCTCAAAACTAATAGGTGATTCGTTCCAAGTCTGGATTCAGAAACGTTTTCCAACCAAATCCGAAACCCGAGATCAGAGATAAGTGATCAAATTATCAAAGCATTAAGAACAGGACAGAATCACTAACATAGAGTAATGGATGGTATATATATATATATATATATGAATCAAAGAGAATACATAGGAGTTTGATGATTACATCTATCCCAACCCTAGAGATTAGCTCTCCATATTACAAGAAACCACCAAATTACAAGTTGAGAGATAGAAGAAGAAGATCCTTTGAAGATTCGCGTTCCCACGAGCTCCAGAGTACTCTGTTTTTTTTCTCCTCTCGTCTCTCCACCCTCTTCTCTCTCTTTCTTTCCTTATATATGAAAACAGAGTAAGCAAGAAAGATATGAATCCGGTCATCTCCGTTAAACGGCTGAGCAGATTGGGATGTCTTCACCATGAAGAAACCTCAATGGCTGAGCGCCTTAGATACGCTGAGCGCTTTAGAGGCAGAGAGCACCCCTTGTTCCTGGATGAAATCCGCTGAGCGGATGGGAATGACTGAGCGGATTGGAGGCAGAGAGCATTCCTTCTCCTCTAGGGGCCAATCCGCTGGGCGCTTCAGAATGGCTGAACGCCTTCAGTTTGGGAAGTTCTCTGACTTGAATCCGCTGAGCGCTTCAGAATGGCTGAGCCATTCTTCTCCAGGTTTCAAAACCTACAAAATAAGCACCAATTTGGATCAAAGGCTTCCTATTCTCTATACTAACATTAATCAAAAGCACCTCTTTGATTCTAAGCATATATAGATCAAAATAATATCAATATGTACACAAAATGTGCTAGATAAGTGTCTCAAGTGAGTATTAAATCAAACTAATTAGACACTTATCACATACTAATGTCATAGTAGACTCACACCCAAGTTGTCCTATTCTTGATAGGGATATTGGACTTTTTTAGTTTAGTGACAAAATTCGAGAAATTAAGTTATTTTTGTGACACCCTTCTACCTTAGATTTAATTAAATAAGGATTATTAATAAAATGAAATTAAATCTTAAAAATTATAATAAAAATACACATTTTCACTTTTATGGTAAAAGGGTTCACAATTCTTGAAGTAAAACTCTTCTAAAAAAAAAGGTAATCAAATAAATGCATAAATTAAAAAGAAAGCACAAACCGCCTTTTTCACAACTTCTAACATAAGACATAAATCATCATATAAAAAATTAACTTCAACTATGACTAATGAATTATAAACTCTCAGTCCCAATGTCACACTATTAAAGCAATTCCTATGAAGTTTTAAGCTTCACCTCCATCAAACTTCTCATCTTATAACTAGTCTAAGTCTGCAAATGACGATCAACCCAAAAACACAAAAAAGCAATACACAAGGAGTGAGAATACATCTCATCCTTGTACAATATATGTGTGTGTATGTATATCATAAAACAATTATCTTCGTATCCATATCCAACCACATTCATCTTAGTGACATCAATCAAAAACACATTCATTCATCGTAAACAAGTACAATCATTTAATTTAAACAATTATAATTATAATTATAATAACTCGTGCAAATGCATGCATCTAAATTTACATGCATGTAGTATCGAGTCTTCTCCTCCTCATCATCAATACAAAATAGCTTAGGAGCTATGGAATGGGACCACCCATCAATAGTGACTCCTCCACTCACCCTTAACCAAGTGATGTCTATCTAGATCCTATCAATATAAATAAAATTTGAATTAGATAAAAAAAAGTTAAAAGAATCCCTACTAATCTTCTTATTGAAGAAAAACTTCTAAAAATATTTTCGTAGGATATAACAGTTTGTATCAATATATAGGAATTGATATATTTTTCTTCTCAATTATAAACTCATTACTCATTTTAAATTATTAAGCTAATCAACTTGTTTACGAATATATCCTTAATCTTAAAAAGATACATATTTTATATTTAAACTCTTAATACAAAATAGACATTTAAATATGCTAAAAAAAACAAACAAAACTCATATAAATATCATATTAGAAATAAAAGTTAAACTTGGCTAACAAGATTATAAAATAGGTTAAGTTGAACTTATACAAAACCTAACTTGGCTTGAATTATTTTTATATGAAAAAATGATAAATTATTTTCATAATAAAAATAATATTTAAATATATTTTTAGTCTCTATAGAATAAATAAGTTTTGATTTTAGTTTTTATAAATTTTTATAATTATTTTTCATCCTTCTAAAATTTGTAACCATTACTTTTATCCTTATAAAATGAGTATATTTTAATTTTAATATTTTTAAAATATTTTTTTATTTTATTTTTTCTAAAATCTAAAATTATTATTTTTATCTCTAACAATAATTTCAAGACATATAAATAATACTTATTTTAAAAATTAATAAAACTTTTTAAAAATATTAAATACTAATATAATATCACTAATAATTATGGACAACACATAAAATTCTTACTTAACTTTGTAATGAATAAACTAGTTAAAAATAATTACTAATATTCAAATTAAAAATAATAATTTTAAACTTTAGATAAACGAAAAATAAAAAAATATAAAGATCAAACAACACTTATTTATTTTATATAAACTTAAAAATATATTTAAATAAAAAAATATTAATTTTCAACACTTTTTCTCTTGAAATATTTTAGTAATATTAATTCAATCTTCAAATTTATTACCCCTATTTAATTTTAAAATAAAAAATTCAACACCGGAACAATCCAAAAGTTTGAGTTTATTATAACCAATTTAATATTACACATCGATTAAAAAAAAAAACGTTCAAAAATCATTTCAGTTCGACTAATCTATTCAAGTATTAAATTGATGTTTTGAAAATATTCAAAAGATCAAATTAAAAATTCCCGAAAAAAGTTAAATAAACAAATAAAAAGAGAGATAAGAAAGTGATGGACATGAAAGGGGTAATATGGTAAGTTAACAACCTTTGTCTAGGCATCCCCAATCTCAAAACCAGACCAAGGCTCCCAATATAACCCCATCAAAGTTCCCCACCACAGAGAAGAATCTCTCTTTATTTCTTTCACTCTCTCGTAACCAAAATTTTCCAAAGCTTGAAACTGTCATCATCCCTTCTCTCTCCAAACTCACCCCTTCAATTTATTCACCTCTGACACCCTCTTAATTTTGCTTCCAGTTTCTCTGAGTGATGGGTATGATCTCTCCTCACTCCCACAATTCCCACATTATAGTGATCCTCATCACCTGCTTCTTTCGTCATAAATTTTAGATCAAACCCTCACCCTGATCCCCCCTTACTTCTTATGGGGTATGAACTCAAGTGAACAGCATGAATCATGACCCTTTAATCTAAGAAGAAGAAAACACACACTCTCCAAAGTCCACACCAACCCATAAAAAGTCCTTTTTTATTTTTATTTTTTTCCATGGCGAGTGGCAAGCTTTATGCTGGTTCAAACATGTCACTTCTTCTCCAAAACGAAAGGCTCCCTTGCTCCTCTGAAGTCCTTGAGTCTCTTTGGGCTCACACCTCTAATCCTGCTTCCTTCCAAGGTGATCTCTTCCTTCTCAATTACCTTCTTTTCATGAATTTTCACAACCTCAACTCTTCTGTCACATGTTAAAAAAACGGTTTTTTAAAGTACATATGATATGTCACATACATATCAAGTTTTTTTTTTTAAAAAAAAAATAACAGTTCACAGGTTAAACTTGATTTCGGTCACAACCTCAAGCTTTCTGTGGCTTCCACAACTTCTTGTCATGGAAACTTGAAAGTTTGTTTCTTTCAGTTCAAGTTCAAGACTGTTGTTTTCTTGTGATGTTTGAAAAAAAAAATTCTTTTTTTCTTTCTTGCTAGTAGAACCTGGTTAATTATGATTGAATTTTAACATGGTGGTTGTTGTTGTTTTGTGGGTTGGTTGATTTCATTTCAGGTTCAAAATCTGTGGTTGATTTTGAGAATGTTAGTGGGGGCAGGGTGGCGGATAGGCCCTTTTTTCAAGCGTTGGAGAAGGAAGAGAACTGTGATGAGGATTATGAGGGGTGTTTCCATCAACCGGGGAAGAAGAGGAGGCTCACAAGCGAACAAGTTCAGTTCCTTGAACGGAACTTTGAGGTAGAGAACAAGCTTGAGCCTGAAAGGAAGGTTCAACTTGCAAAGGAACTTGGCTTGCAGCCAAGGCAAGTGGCTATATGGTTCCAAAACCGTAGGGCAAGGTTCAAGACCAAGCAGCTAGAAAAAGACTATGGCGCATTGAAAGCTAGTTATGACAGACTCAAAGGTGACTATGAAAGTCTTGTTCAAGAGAATGACAAGTTAAAAGCAGAGGTAAAAGAAATAAAATAAAGACACACACACACTTACATGCTGTCAATTTAGCTTTTGTGCTTTATGCTAATACTTGCTTTAATAAAGTGCAATGTTTATCTATCCCACTAATGGGTTAATGATTGGATTGGCACAATTTTGTTACTAACAGGTGAATTCTCTGGAGAGCAAATTGATTCTTAGAGGTAAAGAGAAGGAGAATTTGGATGACAAGTCATCTCCTGATGCTGTCAATTCACCCCACAAAGAGCCTATGGATTTAATTTCAAATTCAAATGCAACATCTGAGAATGGGACCAAAGTGTCACTCCCTATTATGGTAACATGCAAGCAAGAAGATGCCAATTCAACCAAAAGTGATGTGCTTGATTCGGACAGCCCACATTGCACTTCATTCGTGGAGCCTGCTGATTCATCCCATGCCTTTGAACCTGAACACTCGGATTTCTCCCAAGATGAAGAGGATAACCTTAGTGAAAACCTTTTGACCCTCCCTTGCTTACCTAAGGTTGAGGAACCCTGCTATGATCACCCTCCTGAAAACTCTTGTAACTTTGGCTTCCAGGTTGAAGATCAAACCTTCTGTTTCTGGCCCTACTGAACAACCGCTACCAATGTTATAAAACTCCTCACTTGTAACCATGTACTAGAAGCAAGCAATAAAACTGGTATTACTTCTAAGGAATAAAATCAAAAGGCCATGCATTGTGCTGTCAACAAGAAGAAACAACATTAAAAGCTTAAAAACACAACACTTCTTTGAATTCTATAAAAGTCATGTGCCACTGATGTTATTAGCAGAAAAGTGTACAACATTGTTACTAGCTAAAATTCAAAACTGGTTCAGGTATGCGCGTAGGTATCCCAAAATTTCAGGTCGGGTACAGCAACCATTTGTTGTTTTACTTTCGGATGTGGAAAGTTGAAACCATGTTTCTCTTTCTCTCTGGACTCCTCCAGATCACACCGTTGTTTTACTCAGAGATTTGGAAGGCCCTTTATCATATTCATCAGTCCTCACTGCTCAGCAGAAAGTTACGGTTTTATATGCTTCCTAGCTTATTTTCTTTTTACGAATTCACATATAATTAGGTTAGAATGAGTTAAGGTTATTATGAACGACAAAATCAGTTCTTACTCTGCAGCAGAAAGTTATGGCTTTATATCCGCCCTAACTGTTATTTTTGTATGAATTTGCATATCTTTTTACCGAAGATAATTCTGTTTGATTAAGTTGCATACTTAAGGATTAAACCTCAGAACTGAGTTCAGCTGAAACAATTCTGTGTCACTTGTATACTCATTGGTATCTGGGTGATGATGATTATGTTAGAAGTAATTGGCATGTGTTTAATGAAATTGAAAAGTTAAAAAAAAAATAATAATAAAAGGAATGAATTAATTAATTAATATATATGTTTGAAGACAAATATAATACATGATAGCTACAGTTACGTTTAGCAGCACTAATGCATGTTCAAAAGTAATAGTCTCCCTATTTTCTAGCATTAAGGTAAATTTGTGAGCATAGGGTGCAAGCAAGCGATTATTTATTATTATATTTTAGATCTTTAACGGGATAGAAGAGGTTACTTACAAGTCACATCCTAAAACTATTTGTACAAATTCACATTCAAAATGTTGCTTAAACTACAACTTGGAGGAACAGAAGTGACATACATTGAAGGCCGCGAAAGTTGCTAGCTACTTGTCCCATAAGAAAGTTGAATTTAGTACCCTTGGCATCCCCACGAATGAAATTGAACTGCTCCAAGCAACTGTGAGCTTGTGAGCAAGCAAATCTAACGTTGAAATGAAACCAAAGTAAAAAATAATAATAATAAAAAAAAAACAGCACGGAAAATATGGAGAAAAACTGAACCCTGGCCTGCTACAGAAGTCAAGGTTTCTGGTGTGGCTCACTTGAAGAAATTGTATTGGCGAGGACTTTTAGCCCCCGCTAGCTGATTGAGGATGTTGACACCTCCCTCTAATTTAAGCATTAAAATATTTGAAATTCATTCTTGCAATTAATCCCATGCCTTTGTTTCTTCATCAAGAATTTGTCCGTTGCAGAATCTTGTTAGCTGTTGAATTTTGGTTCGCCCATGAAAAAGTCCATGTAAAGTGTCTCACCCTTTAAAATATTATCTGCATTAATATTTTAAACAATGTATTGCATCACCCATTGACAAGTTATAAAAGGAGGCACCTTTCAGGGATGGCCCTTGTGTGTCTTGACATTATTCACGTGAAAAAAAAAAATTAGCATGAAGTAAGTGCAATTAATTAATATTTCTAAGCTTGGAACCTAGTGGTGAAAGGGGGTTTCAAATATATGAGAGAAAGAGTAAGAACATTAATCAATGCCATATTTTCTTTGTTACGTTTTAGTGAGTTAGAGTGGCACAGAAGTTAAAAGAGAGGAGTCAAAAATGTCATGCTCTAGGGTCTTTTTTTTCAAATGTCATTGCTTTGTAGGCTTATACAGCTAAGGTCAAAAGTTTTTTTGTGGTCCTGAAAAGAGGAACACTGCTGTATTTGGCATTTGATTTTGGTGAAAGTGATGTTAAGTGCAGCTCTTTGGCGTCTTTTTCCTTTTCCTCTCTTGCAGCTTGAATCTAAGTTGAAGCTCAAGGTTCATTAATTATCTTTGTCCTCACTATAGTGAGTACCATAAACGGATCAATGTTAGGGCATTGTCCATACCAGTTGTACTTAAGAATATCTCTGGACTGTGGCTTAGGATCAATAAAATTGACGGGTATGAATTTGTTATAAATGAATTGAAAGCATGCTAGAACATGAACATCTAATAGTAATGTTTGGAGGGTAAACGTACATGGCCACACTTTGTGAATTTGTTTGAGTACAACTAGAAAGTCATATGGTCACAAAGCTCACTAGAAAAACAGAGTGAGTTACTTTTCAATCTCTAAAAATGAAAATTGAGTTTGCTAATAAAGACACAAACGGATGCTTTTAAAAATTATTAAAGTAAACCTAATGGTCAGAGATTGAAATAGTTTACACATAATTTTAAGTTCAAATCATTATAAATTTGATAGATTAAAAAATGCTTTTAATTAGAGTGTTTTGGACTATGTAGTAGGCATTCACAAAATCATTTGAAAAAATGTGAAAATCTTGAAGTGTTATGAAAATCAACATAAAACTATAAATTATGATATAAAAGTAGTAGAGAGAAAAGAGAAGGTATAAAGAGAACAATATTAGGAAGAGAATAGAAAATTTCTCATATTACTTCTGTCAATGAGATAACCTATTTATAGACATAAATGATTACAAATAAGATAATAACAATAGTAATGTGAAATATCAACGGTAATAATGGGCAATCACCATTAAATATTCATAATACTCTCCTTTGAATGTTCATTGTTTGAGAATATGTCTCCTTAAGACTTTACTAGGAAAAATCTCGTGGGGCAAGAATCCGGTGAAAGAAAAAAAGTACGTCATTCTTTAATATGGTATCATATACTACCTCATTAAAAATCTTGTTGGAAAAATCCACCGGGACAAAGTTATGACGAAGGAAAAAAGAGTGCATAATGTCTCCCCTCATACAAACAATCATCTTTAAGATGAAGAAGATCAATCTTGTGTACCAATTATTCCAAAATTGTACTTGTCAATAACTTTGTATAGAGATCTTTCAAGGTTCTCACATGAAACGACTATTTAAATAATTATAGCACCACTCCCTTGATGATTACAAGTTAAAAAGAACTTAGGAAAAAATGTTTTGTATCATCTCCTTTAATGCATTCTTCTTTCTACCAAGTAATAGATATAACAATCTCTCATATATAACTATATTACCATATGTTAACAAACACCTCATTTGTGATTTACCATTATAAGAATTTGACCAAAAAATTCCCTTAAGATAATGAAAAATATTATTAGCTTCATTTTAACAATTTCACGTAAGTGAATAATTGTATTTTACAAGTAAAATGAGAAAAAGTTATATATCACGTGATTTATAATTAGCAAGCTAAAATACAAGAGTGCCTCATATAATACTAAGATATGGTACTTTAAGAACAAGTAACATTTTATCCTTTTTCTTTGTATCTAAAAGGATCTTTGTTCACATTTAAAGATCTTGCAAACATCAGAGTTCGCAACAAATGTCATTTCTCTATATAAATATTTTTAAACATCTTTGTCATATAAAGTTATTGATGCACAAGAAGCTTCATAATTTAAATATTCAAATTGTAATGATAAATAGAACTTTGTTTATTCCACATCCTTCATTGTAATTTTATCTTTATGAAATCTATAGCTTTTTGAATATCCTCAAAAGTTACAAAATATTTATGTCATCTACACAAATATAACTATAAGCTTAATTTCATATATTTTCATAAAAATATATGAAAAAAAAATGATCATATCATATTTATATTATTCTTTGAGCATATCCACATCATCCATATTGTTCTAGTCCATAGTACGACTTACTTAATTTGATTGAATAATTTTCTCAAGAATTTGCACCAATGTTTTGGACATATTAAAATCCTTTGGGAAATATCACATAAATCTCACTATCAAGTGAGCCATAAAATTGGGTTGTAACATTCATTAATTGAGTCTTTCATATACAATTTGATTGGTCAAGTATCGAAAAATACTTACATCCATTATAGGTGTACATCTCTTAAAAATCAGTGTTAGATCTTTGTGAAAATCATTAATTTTCAATGTATGTTTTGTATTTCATAATTTCACCATTCATGTTTCATTTTTGCATAAAAACATTATATATCCAACTGATTATACATCTTTAGGTATTTGGACTACAAATCCAAAATCTAATTGGTTTTACATCTTCAGGTGTATGAACTGAGTCCAAAAACGTTTCGATTTGACAAATGAGTTTAATTTTGTCTCAATTGAGTTTTTATATATTTTTTGCCAATCATTTCCTTTTCTAGAATCTTTGATAGACTTTGTTTCTTAATCATCATAACTATTTATCACATAGTGCTACATTATATGTAAATACATCATCAATGTTGACTTTATTTTGGTTCATCGTATTTTCATTCATGACATAATTTGAGATCTTTTTATTTTCCCGAATTTCAAGTAGAGTTTTTCAGGAACTTATTATTTATGTCAAAAAAAATCTTAGACTTTTTATATCTTTTATTTGACCATCTTGATTTTTATCTCCTTTTCTAAATAAAATATTTCTTATCTTTGGAACCAATAAGTCTACCACACTTCATGCATAATTGAGACTTTTAGTAATATTATCCAACAGGGATATCAATTTTGTTGGAGCATTAACAATTGATATATATGATTTAACCATTATTTTGGTCAAACTTTTGTAAATAAATTATCTTTTAAATTTTTGATTTATAATGTTTAGTTTGAAGATTTATATTATAATTCATTTCAATTAATACTTTTTTCAACTCCTTATTCTCTTTCTTCTTATTGTTGGAAAAACTTATTTAAAATTAAAATTGATAAATCGAGTCATAAATAGGACTCCTGTGGATAATTCAACGTATTTATTATAGATGCAATTCATATTCAACTTATATTCTTAACCTTATTTGAAGATTCATCTTGGAGTGTTATAGGATAATAATTCAGTTTGATGATCAATATTATAATTCATTTCAACTAATATCTTTTTTTCAACTCCTTCTTTTCTCTCCTCCTATTGTTGGGAAAACTTATTTAAAATTAAAATTAACAAATCGAGTCATAA